ATATGATATTTTGTATGTTACTCGATGAAAGAAGATGAGATTCGGTCGATTGTTTTGGTATGATATGAAATATCATTAACCATACAATTGGTCACGGATTACATCTGACGGAAAGACCGTTGAAACTGTTTCAAGTGTCAGGGAGTGTTGAATGGTCAAACAGAATCAAGTTTATTGAGGGATTATTCTCCCCTGTTTGTGCCCATTCTATTCCTCCTCGTATAGGGAGATCGCTTCTCGTTGGTTTTCCTATTGCCCAAACGAAAATGGGACATGAAAGAAGTGGACAAAGTGTTGAACGGTTTTTATCTCCTCAAAGATCTGGTCAGTCAGGCTCGCACGACCGGTGTATCGGTTATTCTGCCTCGATTCACGATCGACAGCCAAATCAACCTGATCCCGTACATGCAATCCATGGGAATTAATGATTTATTCAACCGCGGCCAGGCAGATCTGTCAGGTTTGTTACTCTATCGAGTACGGTTTAACCGGTTCAACTGTAACCTGTGCTTAATCTCCGCAATTAAAATATAGTGGGATTTCATAACAGCAACGGTTCGCACAGATTGCATTCCGCTGGTTCATGTATTCTCAACTGGGTGGAAGCAATAAGTGAACATTAAGTTCAGAGATCCTCAACTTTTCCAATTCACTTATTCTCGGTAGCACACTAATTAAAATAAAAACAATAGACAACTACCGAGAGCCTGGCTTTTCCGAGTTGGATTCAGTCATAATTGATATTATTCTATTGAAAATGTTTGGCAAAGCATTGTGGTACGTTCTTGGTAGAACTTAATTGCAACACTGATGTTTCAACTCTCAATTGAATCAACTTCGACAGGGAATCGGACCAGAACACTCTTTTTAGTTAGAGGCATCATCTTTCGTAGCTCTACTTTACATTGTCTTTGTATCCTTGGAAATGAGTTTCTGTTAAATATCCTTCTTTCCCAGTTGTGGATTATTTGATCTAAATACCATTTTCAAGTTCTCCTGTGGAACAAATAGATGCTCCTTGCTCTAGAAAATGTACCTTTCGCTAGTTATATGTTCTACAGATATTTAAGTTTTTGATGCATTCGCAGTAGTCCGTAAATTGGAACAATTGAGCAACGATCATCCACGAGTATCTCAGATCACCTCCCGAGGAACTTGGCGCTCAGTGGATTGAAGCTTCCGTCTATCTCCGTTCTTTGTCATTTTGTGGGCCGCGAAAGTTGGTTCAACCCGAAGAAGCACTTTATGTGCTAAAATAACAGAAAACTGTACGAATGTTACAATTTTCCACGATCGTACCTATTCAACCCCACAAAGCGGATCTCTGTAGGTTATTGGACATTGCGGTTTGACTGACCTTGTCAGAGCGTTGGGGATTACCGTTATGTTCTCGGTCATTGGTCTGATTCCGGTTTCACACGGATTTGTGCACAAGGAGATAATGCGTATTAATTGAACCCAATCTGCCTCATGCTGAGGTTCATTGTTATCCCTATACACATCCTATGGAATGCAAGTTGCAGTATGACGGGATGTGCGAAGCTGTTTCCGCCGGTAAGTTTCGTCTACAGTCGTTCATCGCATCCCGATCGAAATAGGACACGTGTCGCAAGATGTAAACCTTTTTTAACCTTCTCAGTCGCTGAAGTAAAGCAAGGTAACACATATACAGCCCATTAGGTCGGCAGATAATAGAAAACGGATGTGTATAGAAAGACACTGGCTATTAATATTAAAACAAGAAGTCAAATCCACGGCAAGGGAACTGATTGGTCATTCGCACAATGAGGCATGTCAAAATCGCACTCCTTCTGTGATCATACAGGATTCAGCTAACGCCTTAAATTTTATACACTTTCTTATATGGTCGAGTGGACTAACTTGTGGGCAGTATCTCTACTACATTCATAAAGAGTTTTAGTTCACCAGACTCATGGGCCACCAAATGGAAGCTCAGTGATATTCTATCGATCGAAGTCATTCCTCATCAAACCGGAGTGTTGCATAGCATGAATGGATATTTTAGCTAAAGCCATAAAGTACGTTCTAAACTGCATGACCTAAAGTTTGATTCATCAAGGGAGACCTCAGTGTTCACTTGGGGATCATGGAAGACTTGATTTTCTTCAGAGAATTACACATGCACTGATAGTCCCTACCAGGTTCCGGAGTGCCAGGACACGCGGTTGCTGTGTTAGTCATTCAGAGTGGAAACGGTCAGCCAGAAATGCTTCCGTCAGGCAGTTGCGCTTCTTTTACATTGATCGATTCTTTTAAACTGTTTCTCAGACCTCCTATTGCTATCCACGCGCAACTACTTTCCATCTTTACCTTCGCTTTAGTTTGATTTTGCTTGACGCAATGGAGGAACCACACATTTGGGCCGATTTTCTCATTTATTATTATTATTATTATTATCTCTTGCAAGCACAGTACCAATCAGCTTTCGTCAGTGCTCGTCATATTATTCCATTGGAAAATTTGGCTTTTTCCCTTCTTCCCGTTCTCGCACGCCTGCGTTGCACACAGGAATAACGGACTCGGAAAAGCTGTATGTGAACATGATGAAACAAGCCTCCGTGCTGAAAGTGACTGAGGCCGGTGTGGAAGCAACCGCAGTGACTGGAGTGGTGGTTGTGCCAATGTCGTTGGTGCTGCCCGATGTGGAATTCCACGCGGATCATCCGTTTGTTTGTTTCGTCTATGACCGGGAATTGCAAATGCCGTTGTTTGCAGCCCGTGTGACAAATCCGAAGAAGGCATAATGCGTGTGTGTGCGTCTGTGGCCGTCGATTCTGGCGCTGCCACTCTCCTCGCAAAATAAATCGTCGTGATTAAGCCAGTAACAACTCCCTCCCCCCAGTTTATTGGTATTAGTATTATAGTATCATTCAATCGAGTCTATTTATTCTGTCTTGTTGTTTACTCCAAAGTAGTGGGTTTAAATCCGATNCACCAGCTATAGCTGTTAGAGTGCAATCCGTGTCGGACGGTATTGCAGACTCCCTCTGCCGTGCAGTTTCCTATCTTCGACGTAAGTAGGAATTCGGTTGGCTCAGATCAAGAACAACAACAGAATAAAAACAGGTTTTACGGTCCTAACATTATGAGCATTTAATATGATTATCCAAAGTTTAATTCGTGGGAAAGTTCCATTTGTGCATTCTTTTCTGATTGACAAAGCATTGAAAATCGGTTCTCGCAGTTCGGGTGAACTGAATTCACGTTCGTCTGTTTGCCGAGCTTGGCGATTTATTTGCAAACGTTTCACCATTTGCCGTAGTGACATCTCCCATGATTGTCTGTATTGTGGAGGAACCACCTAACAAGAGGTGAATATATCACCGCCACTAGGGATGAAGCGTTTGCCAACAAATTGCCAAGCTCGGCGAACAGGCGAAAATGAACTCTTTCTGATTGCACAACGCCATTCTCAGATGAATAGTCTCTTGAAACAGAATGCAAATTTCTCGCGGTTTAGATATAATACCCAAATGCGATTGGAAACATTGTGAGGCAGCATTATGTTTTAACTTCCACCGAAAAGCAATCAGGTCATTCGCTGACTCGTCAACGTGTGCCATATCGGAATACAGAAGATTCAGGAGAGTCTACTGTATTGTATTGTATTCAAGCTTTAGCGAGTTATATACATGCTTTCAGCCCCAATTCTGACAAAAAGAGGTGAGAACGTGGGATGTGAAAAGTAGAAAAATATGAGTTAATTACTAAATACATTAGAAAGCTCAAAACGACCACTTTCCTTGTCGGTCAGTATCCGGGCAAGATAGGGTACCAAATAGTTTCTGTATGCGGATATGCGAGACGGGATAAGTTTGTACTTAAAACGAATGGAGGAGTGGGATTCGCATGCCCACAAGTCAATTTGTAGGGAATGCTTGCAATTAGATAGGAACTTGTTAGCAACCTTCAAGCACCCATCAATATGGGCATTACACATATCGCCAATCAAAACGGATAATGGAACTTGGGAGACACGGCTGATCATTGAGAGGCCACGCCTCAGCAACTTGAAATCAGCCTTCAACAAACCACGGAAAATCACAGGGGAGCAGTAGAGGGGTATAGAGAGGACACATTGTTGAACGAAAGCGTTTATTACCGACGAGTCAGAACAGAAGTGACGCAGTCTTCTTATCTGAATAGTGAGACTTTTCAACTTACGAGCAACACTATGGGTATGCAAGAACCAGCGAAGGCTACTTTCAAGTGTGAAACTTAAGTACTTCACATGGCTGACCCTGCTCATCGGCTTTCCATGAATCTAGATTTAGTCTGAGGGAGATGGGGTACGGTTTAGAGTAAAAACACATTTAAGGCATTTTTCAGGATTAAGACTTAGCCCGGAGAAAGTGGAATATGAAACGAGTTGGGATAAGTTTGTACTATATTCAACCAGTTCTGATTGGTTAAATACGGAAACAGAAATGACGATACCACCAGCGTACTTAAAATATCGAACAGGGAGAATAACAGGTAAGTTATTGATATAAGTCGAAAAAAGATAGGGTGATAGGATAGCACATTGAAGTACACCAGAGCTATTGAGTGATGCGGTTGACTGTCTTCTTCCCAATTAAACATACTGATAGCTTTGCGAAAAGTAATCAGCCATTCAGCCATTCAAGACGAGAAGCGGGACAGCCAAAAGAGTGGAGCTTGTTAAGTAAAAGAGAACGGGACACCGAGTCGAAAGCGAAAGAATAGTCCAGAAACGCACAATACACATATTTGGATTTCTCGTTAAGGGGTTTACAGATGAAGTGAACCAGAGAAGAAATGGCGTCTAATGTAGAGCGGTTCTGTTTGTATGCAAACTGATGAGTGTCATCGGGGGTGGTAAGGGATAACTGAAGACGGTGCAAAACTGATCGCCTCATCAATTCTAGAGCAGTGGAAGTGAGGGCAATTAGTCTGAAACGCTTCACTATTGGGGCCTTAGACGTTCCTTTGGGGATGAGAGTCATTCTCACTGGGTGTCAGCAGTCCGGAATAGTTCAAAGTTCGAGTGAAGGATTTGCTGTGTGCAAAAATCTGAGTCAGTGGCAGAGCACCGTGTCTAAGAAGGGTGGGACTTAAGTTGTCCAGGTGCGGTTGACACCTTGAGGGAACACGTGTTTATACATCTCACTAAAGGCGATGTCGAATATCGATAGCATAAGGGATACGAAATGAAAAGTTACTGTAGAGACATCAATTGCAAATGCAGAACGCGAGTACTTCCCTAGTCTATACACCTGAGATCCTGGTAAAGCTGACAGAGACAGCATTCTGATCTGTATAGTTCACAGTTTGAAATGCACGTGTGGCGCCGTACCGCTAAATTGAAGGAGGAAGAGGGAAACTATGGCCGATAAATATGGGTTTTTGGTTGTTGCTAGGTGACTGGCAGTAAGGGATGACCATCCACTGGCATACTAAAGTTAGCGACTTCAATCTCTGGATGCCGATGGCCTATTTAGAAGATTGTAAACAAGCCGTTTTCCGATTAGTTCATGCTCTTACATATCATACAGTGAAAAAAAATTTATTACATAACGATAGCCATTGGCTCATTTAAAGGTCAATAAGCGGAGGTAGGCAGCGATGGGTGTGTGTATGTTTGTGTGTGCGTGTGTGTGTGTGTGTGTGGATGGGTGGGTCGGAGGGAGTTTAATGTGACCTTTGACCACTTGGGTCAAGTGACACGTCATGTTCCGTCTTGGTTTTCACACACGGCCAAGGCAATTGGAGTGCCTGCACCAAACGCTTTTGGGCACACAGATCGGGGCCTAGCAAGCGAATGGCGATCGCCTCGGCCATAGCTAGTGTCCAAACTCGGACAGCCCTCGAGCGATTGATTGGGATGCGATAAACCACATCGAAAGCCTTCTCCGGATCGATCTTGTGCCCGGTGTCGATGAGATGCCCCACAATCGCGCTAGAAATGCAACCGGTTTTTCCTTGACTCAACC